CATCAGACACACTTCCGTCGGAGCTAATACAACTATCAGGGTATTTAAAGTTTTACCACAATCTCCAGTGATTCTCCTTGATGTATAAGGGATATGTTCGTAGATGCACCTCCAGACACTCATTCAGGCAATCTGGATAGCAGCTGACAGCAAAAGTACTACTGACATCAATTAGCAGCCAAGTATTGCAGCATCTCCAACCAGGAGCAGTGAGGATCTCGCGGTCCCGATCCTGGAAGGTGAGTAGCACCGACAGCACCCAAACTTTTCGTAATCTATTCCATACCCCTCTGCCACGTTAAGGATCAGCCATTGCCCTGACTCCACCACTCTGAGGTGGGCACGGAAAACAACACTCTCTTCGACAAACAGTATTTCGACATGCGCGAATACATGGCCTAACCAACACAGCTTTTGCTGCTGGACACATTCTTCAGTGGAAGTAACCGTTGCACAACCAAAAACTCCCTTTCTAAATTCCTCATTACGGATTCGCCGACACCAACCCACAAGAACTAGGGTTCTGAGACAACGATTGTTGAACACCTGAAGACGTCTCAGTTCCGCCGCTCGAATAGGCCACATCTCAGCCATGCAACAAAACAACCCACACACTGGCCTGGTACACAAGCCCCTGGAGATTCAGAGACATACCGCTTTGACGCTATAGGTGCCTCAAATTAGCAAAAGCGACCAGAGTCGACCAGATACCTATTCATGTATCTGTCACCATTAGATTAGAACTAATACAAACCTCCAAGATAGGTCAAACGCCCCCACAACTTCAAATTCCTCTCCCTGGATTGCAAATGGCATGTTCAGTGACTGCATATCTAAGAGAACGCAGTTTATATGCACACAGCACTCGATTTAAACAAGCTTTCGTATTCGAGTTTTCAGGGGTAAACAAGTTAGGGTGGAAAGTTCGAAATTCAAAACCGCGGTTTTACTATGACGGAGTACTTTGAGACAAATTATAACCAAGTTAGCAAGTGCAGCCATTGGCTGATTGGGACTACTCTAAAGGACGGTCGTGTGTAGTAAGGTTGCGGACCGATGAAACGGTTATGAAAAATCGCGCCAGGCGTGCAAGTATGAGAACGTGTGAATGACAGTACGGCAAGGCTGTCCAAAAAACCTAGAACTCGAGATAGCGCGAAGTGTTCGCATGTCAGACGTCGGGGGGTTAAACTCTGGCACGGCCAAGAATACGCTTTGCAAGTGAGCTCCCATAAGAGCGAAAACAAAGTGAGTTCAGTACTGGTTTGGTGCAAACTAACCAGAATAACTGAGCCGCGACAGAAGTGTTCAACCGATGGTAGCAGTACAAATCCCGCAACTGTCTACAATCTTTTTCCTTCCTATTTTCAGCGAGTCAGGGTACGTCTAGGCTAAGTAGCGGAAATTAGCTTGCACTTGTCATAAGACTGCATGCAGTTTATTTTTAGGTTTGACAAAGCGAATACCTATTGTTCGTCCTCCGATGAGTGCCCTTCAGGATTCCAGTGAGCCGTAAGATGTTCAGATAGCATCTGGTTAGCTCGGCGAGTAGATCAACTACCACATGATCAACAGCTGATGGTTTCGGTTCTCAAGGTTTTCTAATCAATGACGACAAGTGGGTGATGATGTTGACTCACATGTACTGAATGCGATGACTATTGGTTTATTGTGGATACATTTGTCAAAGGTCATAGTTTGAGTATGATGGTAGTGCGGAGAGCTGCACACTGAAGATGATCACAAGGATGCAGGAGCACTTTTGAGGATCTTTGAGGACCGTCTTTCGGCGTTAATAACAGTCTGTGTCCCGTTCCGGAATATCCATCAAGGGTGAGGGCAGCTTCTAACGCCACTGACTGAGGCGTTCAGACCTTGCGGCTTGGGCATCGTTCGATCACTCCTGGAGCGCTTCTGCTTAGCGAAATACCAGGAAATCTGTGAATCAGAACATGCTCCAAAGCGAGCTAACCAGATACACCCATAGAGAATGAACGTTCATTAACGGAAGGTTCTCCCTCAACTCAAAATGGCAAATCAGACGGAAAGCTTCATAAAGTAGCAGTCAGCGAACATCCACAATAATGTGAAGAAATGCGGTCATTGCGTCAAATACGGTAACTATTCATTCGAAAGCCGAAATTCTGCTAATTGGATCCCGGCAGTGTAGGGATTGTTGGGTACATCACCATCATCGACAAGAACGCCAGATAGATCATTAATGCGTCACTGTCGTTATGGAAAAACGTTTCCAGAAACATTTTAGCACAAATCTTGTAGTCGCAGCCGATTGATTGCTCACCAGTGTTGAAAAAATTACTTGGATTGTGAATGACTTGCAAGAAAGCCAGCGTTCTGACGCTGCTGTATTCGAAGTTGAACCAATAGCATGGCACTCACAACCTAATATCATCCGGTTGTCTTCACTTCGGCTATTCATTTACTGTGGAAAGAGAAAGTGTGACTAACTCCGAGGGCTCAAAGTCATCACTGACGGGTTTAAGAACCGTGTACTTGTCGTACAGTAGCCCTAGCTACCATAGTTTCGTTCACCGATGATTTGAAGAGCTGGCTTGATTGCTGCGCATTGAAAGTGGTAGCCTATTTAATTGATTCTTAAATACAGAGTTGCCAATGGACTTTTTATTGGGGAATTGGGAGGGAAGCTCGGCAGTGGAGGCAACAGCTTGGATGCACGAATGTCACTGGGGGCGTGACTGGGCCATATCTGACAATGTCTCTAACCATGGATGTATCACGTCTCGGGGTCCCCATCAAGGGAAACGGCAATGACCAGTGCAACTGAGTTGCCTGTTAATGACTTTCGCGTTTCATTTCCAAGTCATTGCTTGACCTCTCCTGGCTCGTTCATACCCTTCCCAGTCGTTGTGTGAAATAAGCCCTCTGAGGAAGTCGGTCGGCTAGCATGCGCAGCACATTGCCTAGCCAACACAACTTATGGAGGGTGGTCGATTCACCTGTCGTTGGAGAGATATTTCTTTCGAAAACCATTCGACCTACTTCAGGATAACTGATCCGGTGTTCCCATCTATCGGGAAGGTCAGCTTCCTGAAAGTAACCACTGAATGCCCGGAATCTACCGAGATTCTCAGCTCCGCTAGATTTGACCAGACAGACAACGTCCCCTCAATATGCAGCGCATCGCAGCCTTGCATCAAACCTAGACAGCGCGAGTCAGCGTTGATCAAGGTCAGACAACGCCCCCGCGATATGCAGCACGTCGCGTCAGCATTGTACCAAGTTCAAACAGTGTCCTACCAATAAAAAGCACGAGGCCGTTGTACTTTTCGCACTCGCACGCACTCAGGCTCTCGCACCCGCTTTGTTGGAATATAGCTGTTGTGTTCCCTTCCGTGAGTCTTTTCTCTCCGATACTAGGCACCGGAGCGGGTCAGCAGCAGATACCACAGATTGACGAATCAGCAGATATAACACCATCGGACTCGGGCAACGCTCCGAAGAAATAGATGGCCAAACACGAAAAGTCCATAGCGCGCACCGACCATATTTCCGACCCGTATAATAATATGGATCGCACCGCAGCGGATAGGCCGATGTCACGCCTACGCCACAGGTGATGAGCGTTGACGAAAGCTGCTCTAGCCTTCCCAAACCCGGATAGAAATATCATTTTTCGCGAGACCAACGAGACTGATAGTTACCCAGGTAGACAAACTTGTCTCTACCTCAATCGGCTCATCCGAGAACATGAGGTTAGGTTTCGATCCAAACCAGTATTACATCCGCACTTTACACTTTGTTAATAGCTAGCAGGGAGCATAAGACCCATCGGTCAGACAACCGGTAGCCAAATGAACCAGAGACGTTTGCTTGTGGTGGGAAAGGATTGGGCGAGGGACATCGGTGGACAGTGAAATGTGCGGCCAGATTATACTTCTCGGTTGCCCAGTCCGAGAAAGGAGGTTTGATTCAGGTACCCCGCCTTGAGCCTTTGACTCAAAAGTCTGACCCACAAGGTAGCCGAAGGATGTAGGGATTTGTTTGAGGACCCTGCACGTAGCGTCTTACTCATAAGTCTGAGCCGCTGGACAGCAGACGGTAGGGTTTTCTCTGGGGTCCATCCCGGAGCCCATAACTCAATAGTCTGACCTACTCGGCTGCAAGGGATTGGCCTAACCAAGATCGCCCGGGTGTAAAGCAGCACTGTCTCACTGTTGATGCGGCTGCGTAGAGCAAGTGCCTTCTGAGTGTCACCGGACTCTTTGGTCCCAAAAGTATCTCGACCGTATTGAATAATGCGTCGTCGATCACGGTCAGCCGTTGGGTGATCGGAGCAAGCGCTTTCAGGGCTAACCTATTCTTACCAGTCTTTCCTTGGGGGGTGGCATCACCACTGCTTCCATAAATATGGACATCCTATTCGCATTGGGGGAACACCTTACTGCCTTCACACTCCTATCACGGAGGACAGTATGACTTACCCCCAGACACGTAGCACGCTTACTCGTAGTACGGAGTCTCGCTGCTCTTCGTCTTCCTTGGAATGGTTGCACCTTTTGGAACGAAGTTCAAGTCAGTGTAGCCCGCGGGATCATTGCAGCACTCAAGCCCGACCACTATGTCAAGGTGGCAGCTTTCGGTCAGGACTACAAGGGCCAAGGACACAATTTACATTAATCCTCCTTTCACGGGTTAAGTCTTCTTATGGTGGTCGTGGTGGTGGTTGTGCCACACAACAACCACCAACCCACCGCTACGCGCTACTACGCTCCACAATAACACACTGATGATGTCACCTCGATTGGTGATGAAACGTTTGCGATCAAATTGCCCAGCTCAGCGAACAAGCCAACGACCACCATCTACGCTACCTGAGCTACCAACATTTTCCTCTATAGAAAGTCTTCTTATGCTTGTAGGAGTGATGAACTGTACTGATGATCACATTGAACTAATAACTGTTTGTTTAACTGCATTTGATCAACCTCCGTACAACTAATAACCAGGTAAATATTGAAAAAGATGGGCATGCTTTGTAATAAGGGCAAAAAAGGTACTTTGTGTACCTACACAGAGGTCTTTGCGCGATAAGGTTAATGAATTTTTCGCGGATAGGCCCGGCTGAACATGGTGACCAGCTTGGGGAAGGTTATCGATATCTAATAAGTGTTTCATCAAAGTGCAGGTCTGTAGAATACCGCTCACTACTATGTTACTGATTTGAACATTCTCTTCAAAAAACGAATAACTATCGTCTTGGATGGACCGGTTGTTTTGGGTTTATCTGCTAAACTGTGGTGCGGTACCAAGGTCTGACAGTGTCGCATTGGATAACTCGAGAACGACGAATGTGCATTTAGAAACAAGTGACACGCCATGCTTATCCACAAACCGAAAGCTTGGCAATAAGGTTTATGGAAGTGCAACGGTGCATGGAACTGTAGCACAACTGCGCATTTACTGAATGATGGGCTAGTGTAATGAGTAAAGATGTATCGTCTGCAGTTGATCATAGTGCTCTTTGTGGCCAATCGATCATATTGACTGGAAAAAACGACCGGACACATCCGTCCGTACGAAATTGTTATGGATGGTTATTCGTAGTGAAATGTGTGCAGTAAACTATATGGATGAGTGATACAGCAACTGACAAAGTAGGCAATGGCAGAGCGACAACTAGTAGCAAGAAATTAGTAAAGCAATGGGTAGTAAATTGAAAAAAGTTAAACAATATAGTGCTTAGGACGACTCACCTGAGATTCCAGTCCCCGCATTCGCACAGGTTTCAGATTGGTCACGAACGCACCACACCTACCTTGGAGCAGCTCAAGTGGATAGAGGCCAGCCAGCCCACTGATGACTGTGCGATGACCCAAGGTGGGACCAAAATCTACCTCTTCCACGTATAGGCTGTCCGCATCAGGGTGCTGTGTAGAGGTGAAGAGCGGAATTCATTGTTAGCTAATAGCTGTTTTCGGATTGGTTTGTCACATCAAATTACGACTATGTAACCGCGCACACAATTAGCTATGCCACATACGGTTTGCGATGAGCCAAATGGACATCCACCTGAACGCCCTATGCCCGATAAGAACCCGAAGGAATAATACTAGAGGGAGCAGTAGGAATCGTATCGTTCATCTGTGGCATCCTTTCGGTGCCTAACTGCCATGCCACCAGAAGGTAGCACGAGGGCTGGGGGTAATGCCAGGTTGCCAAAGCCTAGACAGGGGAAGTCGGGTGGCAGAGATCGGGTTCGAACCACGGACCTTCCGGTCAGTAATTTCGCGCTCTAACCACTTGGACCATCTCGCAGTAGGGGGCAGGTCGGAAACGATCGGCATGTCCAACTGGTAAACCACGTCAGACTACGCGGAGACAACTTAACAGTTGGGATGCATAATATATGAGGATGGCCTGGTGCCCCATAAAGCACACAAATATGGCCAGTCGTCGCCATTTTGATCCGTGCAACGCGGTCACAGACAGTCACTTCTAGCACTCTGGAAAGTCCAGGGGTTTAGGCAGATCATTCGAAAAACAAAATATAATTCAACGAACTAGACAATAATATGGTGGCACATGCAACGCAAACAAATTTGACAGCCGTGAGAAAAAACGGACAACCCAACCCATTGGCGATCCACTTAAGACTCACATAGGTTTGACGTAGGTTTGACAGTCACATACACATAGACGGTAACTGAAGTTGACGTCACTATGAGGAAGGTGGCACTTTTACGGACGACAGCGAGGGTACTCTATCACTCACACACTCGATATAAGGTGACAGTCACGTACACATAAACGGTAACTGAAGTTGACGTCACTATGAAGTCAAGCCTAGGACAACCCTCATATCACGCCCGTCAGTGAACATGAAATGTTGTCAGCCATAGTATTTCACAATACTATGTCGATAGCGTATTTTTTTGTCTTGTGGAAACATGGGTTTCTTCCACGGTGATGCACTCACAGCTTTCAAGAAGCAAGTATCGCTTCTGCGACTACCTTCACCAGAACGGCGTGGTAACCGATCTGACCATGGAACTTCACTACATGGCGAGCAAATCATACGCGCACGTTATGCAGTAGGTTGACGGAGCTACACTCACACCTTGAGAAGCACTAGATGTTCAGCTGATACGTTTGAGCTGTAACGGTGACCACAGTGACTGATCCCCACACATTAAGTTTAGAGTACACGCTTAAAATTCTACTTTAGAATTTCAGAATTTCGGAGACCTCGTTCTTTCAGAGAAACAAAGATATGGAAAGAAGATTAATCCATCGTCGGATATCCAAACAAAAGTACGGTTGGTCACACAGCGTTAAAATTTTCGGCTGCATGCCCGGAAGGTCACTTCGAATGGAAAAGCGTACGACGAACGGCTACGGGCAAATGACCCAGGGGCAAACCATGAGAGGGGTCAGAACCAAACACTTCTAGCCCTTCGCTCATCTTCCCGACGAGAAAGCTTCAGCGCAACCTTGAAGCAAATCTCGCCATTCCGCCAAGATACAGTTGATTTCATTTTGAATGATCCATTCACAGCAATGTTAAGCCACCGTAGTAGGAGGAACAGAGTCAAGGGCCAGCAGTATGGGCTAAGCAGCCACGAAACTCAACTTCATTCAACTCAAGAATTTGCCTGGTGTACAGGCAAGCATACGCTGCACACAGGCCCCTAACGGTGCTAAATGGTGCCTTCATCACTCTGAAGCGCGCGCACGCGTTCGCACCGGTCTGCATACTTCGGGCCATCGCTAAGACTGCTATCATCATCATCATCATTGCCAGCTGTAAGAACCGCGTACTCGTCGTACACTGGTTGTAGCTGCCACAGTTTCGTTCACCGATGATTGGGGGAGGGGGGTAGGTAGCTGCGCATTGCACGCGCGAGCTGGTAAATTGGTGCATAAATCCAGCACTGTCAGTGGGCTGTCAAGTGGGAGGGGGTGGAAAAGGAGCTATGCATTGCATGCAATCGCTTTGATGCATGAGCGCCATTGAGGGCGCGACT